ATGTCTTAAAATGGGTTTCTACTTTCTATAGCTTTTTTTTTTTTTTTTGCAATTGCCGCCTACTGTTTATTCTGCATATGTTTTTTTTCTTAAAGCAACCGTTTTCTTATTTTATACGGCTTATGCTGCTGGTTTAAATGGTTTTTGAAGCTGCTGCCTGTTGCTTTCTTTCTACAGCTGGTGCATTTTGTTCAACCTTGCATCTGAAATCATTGTGACAATTCTTATCTTTTTATAATGTACATGCTCTACTCTAATTTTTGCTGCTGAAATAATTGTAACCAGTTTGTGCCAATTCTTATCTTTTTATAATGTACAGACTCTACTCTAATTTTTGCCGCTGAAATAAGTGTATCCAGTTTATGCCGCTGCTGTTATTTTATTTTGTACAGCTGGTTTACTTTTTTCCACTTAGTATATTGTGGGTGAACCCGACAATCCACCCGCATTATCTGCTATCCGCCCAACCCAACCCGATAGTAAGTGTGGGTGGGTGGCGGGTTGAAAATTGTCAATCTGTTAATGAGTGGGTGGATTAGTTTATAGTCCAAATCCATTTGATCCGCCCGTTGCCCACCCCTAATACTAGGCATGTAAATGACCGGCTGTACAAAATATTATGCAGTCAAAATTAACTTTTAAAGGAATTTAAACTAATAAAATTTTCCCTCCTTTTTCCGAATAAATATAAAAATGGAAAGTGTTATTAATTTCCCTCTAGATTTTCATTAGAAAATAGAAACCAAACTAATTATTGGAATAAAATTCAAAATATTAAAATTTTCCCTCTCATTTTTTTGAAAACATCAATTTATCCGCCAAAATTTTTGACTGGCTCTTTGAAGGGCTCTTTCAATGCAAGTGGCTTCTCCCACCACTGAAAGAAGCTGTCGCCTCTCCTCTCTCTCTCCTTCGCCTTTTCTACACTGCTTCCCCTGATAACTCCGACAGCCATTGTTTGCTTTCTCATCGTCGCAATGACTCCCCCACTCGACAACGACGTCCCTATCGGACTCCCCTGCCACCGTCTCCTCTGCTTCTGCCGGTTCGTTTGGCTAGAGAGGTTTTTTTTTGTTTCTTGTTTTGGGACCTTTGCTTTGGTTCTGCTGCTCGCAACTTTGTGTGGTTTGTATGCTTGGGGACCTTCTAATTCTTGTATGGTTTCCGTTTTTGGTTGTTGTTGTAGGGCTACTAGTGCTGTTTACCTCAGTTCCCAGAAACCAGCAGGAAGGGGGAAACGACCTTGAATTCACTTAATTAGGGTTCATTGAAAAATTGAGCGATTGCTGTGATGCAAGCTTTCATGTAATCTAGATGACGGCTCTGTAGTGGATATTGATGAATCCCAACGGATTTGGTGGGGTTTCATTTCGTGCATGGTAGCTAGTTAACATTCGAATCCTGTTATGTATAACTATTCATCTTGTCCAGAATGAAGCGAGTACTTAACACTTCATCTGGTTTTTGCAGGACATTCGTTAGTCAAACAGTTACGGGATATCTTCCCAAAGCAGGGGGTAACGGTTTTGAATTCACTTAATTAGTTCATTACAAAATTGTGCGAAGATTTTGAGTTGCCACGACAATTTTCCAGAATCCAAAGAGTAAGCTCGACTCTGTTCTGAATTTTCAGGGGATTCAACTCTTGGAGTGAAAATGGCGATTGCTTTAGCATCAGCAGCATTAGCCATGCTTTCTCTCTTTGCAGCTTAAGCTATCCATCTTAAACACGTAAAGGCTAACCAAGGTATATACTAAAGACCATCTCCAAATACAAGAAGAACCACTCCACTTTTTAGCTCCCCTGCTTAGAATAAGCTCGTTAAGCTGCTCAGTTGCAGCATTGAAGGATCCAAAAGCCTGCTGGTCTACGAGTATGTTCCCAACAAGAACCTCGACTAGTTCCTATTCGGTAAAGACTAGCAAGGTGGTGACTTTGAGCTGGATATTGAAAAGAAGGAATGGAGGAAGGGTTTTGGAATCCTCAGCTTGTTCTGTTGCTGGGTTTCGTTTATTTATACTAGTTCCGAATTCACTGTTTCACAACGGTAACAATGACGTGGTTAAACACCATTCATCCAAATAACATAAAGCAGTTAAAACAAACAACAACTAAAGCGTCGTCGTTCCTTGCTGTGCCAGCTCCCATTGTCAACGAAACGGCTACCACTCCGAAATGTTTCAACTGAACTGTTCTTCCTCTGAAATCGAACTCTGCAGCATTGGCGCCATCTTCCCTTGAGCATTCTGCTCTTGCAGATTCAAATCCATGACACACTTTCCTTTCTTCTTCATCACGCCCCCGCAAATTGGCGGGTATACATTTGTTACGCCCAATTTGTCGAGCAAAAATTGCAACCTGTAACGACTGAGTCCCTTTGTAAAAAGATCAGCCAACTTGACTCTTTCTCTGGTAATGTGTACATCGATCTCGATGTGCTTTGTCCTTTCGTGGTAGACAGGATTGTCACCGATCTGAATTGCTGACATATTGTCGCAGTAAACATTAACTGGAGATGGTAAAGTAATTCCTTCTGCAATTAATCTTTTCGGCCACTGTACCTCACAAACCAAGTGGGCTAAAGCCCTATACTCTGCTTCAGAAGATGATCGAGACACTGTGGTCTGCTTCTTAGACTTCCAGGTGAGTAGAGAGTCTCCCAGGTAGGTACAATAACCTGTAATAGATCTTCGTGTGTCAGGGCAAGCTGCCCAATCAGCATCACTGAAGCCTTTTAACAACATATCACTCTTTGACTTGAAATGTAATCCCTGCCCTGGTGACCCTTTGAGGTACCTTAGAACTCTGTAAGCAGCCTGCAAATGTGGTTCTCGTGGCTGGATTTGGTACTGACTTAGCTGTTGGACAGGGTAAGCTATGTCTGGTTTAGTAACTGTAAGGTAGTGCAACCTTCCAACCAGCCTCTTGTAGATTCCTGGATCCTTCAACAGCTCCCCATCCCTTGCATTCAGCTTAACTTTGCAATCAATGGGGCTTTTACAACTCTTTGCATCTGTGAAACCAGTGTCCTCAAGGAGATCCATACAATATTTCCTTTGTGACACTGATTCCAGCTGTGTTCCTTGAAATCTCAAGTCCCAGGAAGTATTTCAATGCACCTAGGTCCTTGATCTTGAATTCCTTTTTCAGGTAATGTTTGACAGCTTCCAAGTCTCCCAATCGTGGTCCTGCTAAAATAATATCATCCACATACACTAGCAGAACTACTATCCTGCCTTGAACCCATTTAACAAACAATGAGTAATCAGAAACAGATTGAGTAAATCCATTCTCCATGTAAACATCTTCTTCTAGATCCCCATTTAAGAAAGCATTTGAAACATCCATCTGCTCTAGACTCCAGTCCTTGATAGCTGCCACTGCTAGCAGTGTTTTAACAGTGTTGTTCTTGGCCACTGGGGAGAAAGTGTCAAGAAAATCCACACCATACACCTGTGTGTATCCCTTTGCAACCAGCCTGGCTTTATGCCTTTCTATCCTTCCATCTGGTCTCAGTTTGAGCTTCCATACCCATTTGCAACCTATTTTCTTCTTGTTAGGTGGTAACTTGCATATCTCCCATGTTTTGTTGGCAATGAGAGCTCCCAACTCTTCCTGTGTAGCTCTATTCCAGTTTTCATCTTGCTGAGCTTCAGCAAAAGTTCTTGGTTCAAGATGAGTTGTCATGCTTAAAGCATATGCTTTCCTTTCTGTAGTCAACCTTTCATAACTAACATACTCACCTATAGGGTACCTGCTAACTGTTCCCAGATAACAGTCTTTGTATCTTGCTGGTAGAACAATATTCCTGTGAGGCCTTTCTCGAACCTGTGGTTCTGCTTCACTTTCTTCAAGAGCTACAAGCTCTTGTTCATGGAAATCATCCACACAATCATTCATTTCCACATTACTCATAACATCATCATCATCAGACTCAGAATACAAAACATTAGATGCATCAGTCATGGGAGAAGGATTACTGTTTGAAGAACTAGGATCAGCAATATGAGTATTTTGCTTTGTTGAAGAGGAAAGACTACTGACATGACTGGGATTTCTATGACTGGAAGGACTACTGACATGACTGGATTTTCTATGAGATGGATTGGTGACATTTGGTGGAACATCAAAGGGCAGAACAGGTGCTGGGAAGAAATGCTCCTGTGAGGTTTCAGACATTTCATCCTGTCCGGTGATGTTCTTAAATGGAAAGATGTCCTCATAAAAGGTAACATCTCTTGAAACAAAGAACTCATGTGAGTTCAAATCAAAAAGCTTATAGCCTTTGATTCCTGCAGGAAGACCTAAGAAGATGCACTGTCTTGCTCTTGGTTCCATTTTGGTTCTACCTTGAGCATGACTGGTGGCATAGGCTAAACACCCAAAAACTTTTAAATGTCCAAGGAAAGGTGATGTTTTATAGAGAATCTGGAAGGGGGATTGATTCTGCAGCACAGGAGTACGCAGTCTATTGATGATATAGACTGCATGGAGGACACAGTCACTCCAAAAGGGTAAGGGCACACCTGAATGAAATCGAATGGCTCTAGCAACGTTTAATATATGTTGATGTTTACGTTCTACCCGCCCATTTTGTTCAAGTGTGTAAACACAGGACATTTCATGCTCAATTCCCCTCTCAGTATAGAAATCACACATTAAGAACTCTTTTCCTTGATCACTCCTCACTCTCTTTACTGTTTTATTGTATTGTGTTTGCACCATATTGCAAAAACCAATAAGAAGGGATCTAGCTTCAGACTTGTTATGCATAAGATAAAGCCAAACTGCTCTTGAGTGATCATCAACAATGGTGAGAAAGAAAGAAAAACCATCGTGAGATTGAACAGACAAAGGACCCCAGATGTCCACATGAATTAATTCAAAAATGTCTGCAGCATAACTAGTACTTGAGGGAAAAGGAAGCCTTTTCTGCCTAGACAAATGGCAGTGTTCACAGTGTTTGACAACTTCCTTAGGAATACTAGGATTACAGTTTTTAATAAGCTGAAATCTATTAGAACTAGGATGTCCTAAGCGCCAGTGCCACAAGGAGATCTTCTGAGGTTCAAAATTGTAGACAGAGGCAACTTGGGAAGGAAATGAAGTGTTTGATGATGAGCTGGAAGTGTTTGGTGAAATGAAGTGGTACAAGCCTTTAGTTTATCGAGCCAAACCAATCATCCTAGTTGATATCAGGTCCTGGTTATGGCAAACATTAGATTGAAAGAGGAGTGAGATCGGTAGGTCATGTGTCAGCTTGCTGACAGAAACCAAATTGAAGGTAAAACTAGGAACCAGAAGAACATTGTGAAGGAAAAGACCAGGAGTGAGCTTAACTGATCCTATATGGCTGACTAGGACCTTGGTTTTGTTAGGGAGATAGACATAAACATCAGACACTAGAAGGCATTTATGAAACAAATGAAGAGAACAAGCAATATGATCTGATGCACCCATGTCAAGTATCCAAGTTGAAGACAAGACATTATGAGAAATGGTGGAAGACAGAACATATTTACCTGCAGAGTTTGGGAAGGTAGGAAGATGAGTAGTGACTGAGTGTGCTCTATGATTGATTGCTGGACTTTAAGGTGAGGTTGGAGATGTGGAATTGGACATCTGCAGGATGCCTCTCAACCTGCTCATCTCTTCTGCAGTAAAACCTCCAACTGGACTAGTAAACCTGTTGCCAACCTCAATATGCAATCCTTCAGACTGACTTCCTTCTTCAGATCCAATGTTCTGACCAACAGAACCTGCAAATCTTCCAGCATTCTCTGCAGCTTCTCGATCCTGCCTCCTCTTCTTAAGCCTCCAGCAATCCTTGATAACATGATTAGTTTTCTTGCAGTAGTTGCAAAACAGTTCTTCTCTATCTCCCTTAGCAGGTGGGTTGTCTTTGTTAGCTCTTCGAGATGTGCTAATAGAATTGCCTCCTCCAACAGCCAATGCCACTGATTGTCCTGTCTTCTTCTTGTGGCTGCCCTCTGCCTTAAGCTTGTGCTCATGCTGCAAGAGATCATCAAATGCCATCACCACTGTGGGAAGTGGCTTCATGAGCAGGAGTTGAGTCTTAATCTGGTCATACTCAGGGTTCAAACCAGCCAAAAACCAAATCAAGTAATCTGTATTCTGCTTCTTCCTGAAAGCTTCTACAGTAGCACAAGGCATTGGATTACCAGGTGCACATCCACATGGGACAATTGGATTAAACTGACTGTATTCCTCCAAAAAACCCTTCATCTCTCTGTAGTACTGGGTAATTGTACGAGTTCCTTGCTTAACAGTATCATCTTCTAGGTTTGCTAGTTTGAGAGCACAAGCCTGGCCATATCTGCTTTTCAACTCAGTCCACAGAACTTGAGCATTGTCATGACTCAGGGCACTGCGAGCAATGTCCTTTTGCAATAAATGTGTTATCCAACAAAGAACAATAGTGTTACAAGCATCCCAAACGTGAAACAGTGGATCTCCCTGAGGAGGAACTGGTATGCTCCCATCTATAAAATCCAATTTATGCTTTGTTTTCAACACAATTCTCCCAGCCTTAGACCACATTTGATAATTAGGACCATCCAAGACAATGGGAATCACAGATTGAGCTAGATTCTCATTAGGGTTAATGTAGAATGGGTTACCCAAGTTTGGATCTGGAGCAGCACCAGCAGCAGTAGTAGTCCCAAATCCAGAAGCAGCAGCAGTGTTGTTGTTGTTAAGATTGCCATCAGTAAACTGACCAAATTGCAGGGGGGAAGCGTGATTGAATGGTGGTGTTTGATTTGGACCTTGATTTTCCGCCATTGCTTCAGATCTGCTCTGATACCATATTGAAAAGAAGGAATGGAGGAAGGGTTTTGGAATCCTCAGCTTGTTCTGTTGCTGGGTTTCATTTATTTATACTAGTTCCGAATTCACTGTTTCACAACGGTAACAATGACGTGGTTAAACACTATTCGTCCAAATAACATAAAGCAGTTTAAACAAACAATAACTAAAGCGCCGTCGTTCCTTGCTTGCACATCTCCCATTGTCAACGAAACGGCTACCACTCCGAAACGTTTCAACCGAACTGTTCTTCCTCTAAAATCGAACTCTGCAGCATTGGCGCCATCTTCCCTTGAGCATTCTGCTATTGCATATTCAAATCCACGACACCCTTTCCTTTCTTCTTCATCACTGGAAGTAGAGGTTGAACATAGTAGTTGGGGCGGCAGAATGGCTGCAGTATCTTCATGGAGAAATCCAACTCCCTTCTCCAAGCAGTATGACCTCTAATTAATCTTTCATCCTTCCTACTTCAAGAATTCGAGTTGCTCGTAGACTTAAAACGATTAGCTTGATATGTACTTTAGATAACAGGGGCAAGGATCATCTTGACAGAATGTTTGTCGAGTGAGAGTAAGTCAGCCGCTTATCAGAATTTTTTTGGTCGTATTATTCTTTTCTTCGAGATTATCCTATGTGTATAGAGTGATAAGGGCTAAATTGCAAGTTTGATCACTCGAATTGCTACAAAATTTCACGCTTAGTCACTCGAATTGGTTTATTCCATTCGTAGTCACTTAAATTAGTTGAACAGTCCAAGTTTGGTCACTCTCTGTTAACCTCCATCAGACTTCATTAGTGTCGTCCGTTAACTGCTGACGTGGCTAACAGAGATGCCTAGTCACCCAATTTAAACAAAAAAAAATCCATTTGTCACTTTATTATAACCCAGACACATAAGATACCAACCGAATCGAACCCGTGACCAATCACCCTTCTTCTTCCTCTATACCCTGCTTTCGCCGCCGCCGGGGGGATTTACCCTCGATCTCCCTGCTGCAGCCCCTGGTGCCGGATCCAGATTCGCGACCGATTCCTTGCCCGGGGCTTCGTCACCCACAAACCCGACCCCGACTTTCACGGGTTGCCCCGCGAACTAGATGTGCCCACCCATCAATTTGAACACCAGGTAGGCCGCGTACGTGGTTCTTGGCGATAGCCTCTGGGTCAGGATCTTGGCCCGGATTTCCAACCACCACACGAGTTCGAGCGCCGCCACTTCCCCTTCGGCGAACCTTGAATTCGCATTCGTCTCCCACCGCCAATACGAGGGAGTGTCGCGCTGTCGCTCCATGTGATCGTTAAATCCCTGGCTCCCACCATCATCGATATCTTCCCCCTTCCTGCCTCCACCGCCCAACTCTGCAGCATCAGACAGATTAAACTGGCGAATCAACCAACCAATAAATTGAAATTGAATTGCCCTAAAGAACAACCTAGATATGGATTGGAAGACTAATTGATAGAGATTAATTATTGACGAGGGAGGTTGTGGTAATCAGGTATCTGACCTTTTTGCCTTGGTCGAGCAGAATTGGCTGTGGCAGAGTCGGCGAAAGAGGTGCTACTTGGAGACGGAAGTCGAGAGAAGAGATGGATCTTGTCGTAGTCGTCTTCCTTGTTGGAGTCGTGTTGAGAGAAGATGAGGGAGGGAGATGGAGGAAACAGAGCCATGGCGGAAGAGGTAGATTTTTCTGGAATGATTTTTTTTAGGTTGGTTGGGTTGTATTTATATGAGGTGGCAGGTTTTTCTGACGTGGCGGGTCAATTTCTATTCTTTTTTTTGTTGTTAAAATTGGGTGACTAGGCATCTCTGTTAGCCACGTCAGCAGTTAACTGACGGCACTAACGGAGTCTGACGGAGAGTAACCGAACTTGGACTGTTCAACTAATTTAAGTGACTACGAATGGAATAAACCAACTCGAGTGACCAAACATGAAATTTTATAGCAATTCGAGTGACCAAACTTGCAATTTAGCCGAGTGAAAAGTCTACCCTTTTTCACCTCTGACATGTCTGCATCCGGAGATGGCGTTGTTGCAGGTACATGGATGAGATAACCTTTCCGTTTCAAGTTTCTCCATGGATCCTTTTTCAGCCACACTGAGTTGAATTATATATGTTCTTTGCTGATTCCAGATATGTTGAGAATGTTGTCAGTTCAGCTTCAGCCACACCTTATTACATATGAAAGCTACTTGAAATGCTTGATCCGATACGAAATAGACTGGGGTCATAGACCAGTGGGTGCTTGCAAGAAAACGCGGGTTCCCTCCCCATGAAGAAATGGAAGACTAAGAAGTGGAACCTGATTCGAGTGGTATGATATCGATTACCAAGCAGGAATACAGGACGTTGTTATCATCAAGCCAGTAATCTTAGATTTTTCTTCCAAAAATTTTCCTTTTCAACAAGGGAGGTTGTCTACTTTATTACCCTTTGTAAATAGAAGTTGAGTAGTTCTCCAGGTTCTTGGCCTCTGGTTTTTTATTGAACCATGTAACACAAACCTTTTTTGCTGGCTGAAAGAATCTTTCGTGACAAAGAAAATTTACACAAACTACAACTCAAAATAAAAAAAATATATGACGTCAAATTGTGAAATCCCAAAACAAACCTCCCCACAAAATGACTCAAAGAATAGTCAAACATCTCCTATGTTAACCTGCATTTGAAGGAAAACAGAAAACCATGACAAATGTTCTCACTTCTCACAGCCTTTTAAGAAAATTAAAACTGCCGGTTAGCTTCCCATATTATCTTCTTGTCTATATTTTTACAGTACACAGTCCTAGCACACATCTCATGTTCATCTTCAGACTGAGAACCATAGCAACCATCTGAGAATCATAGCAACCATCAGTTGGACTGGAAAATGAACTCAACTGAAGACCACGGTTAAAAGGTGCAATAGCAGTTTTGGAATGCAACACTTTTAGTGGGTCAAGCACTGTCCTAGACAAACTGAAAGCAACCATTGCACCTTCCACAGGAAGACACTAACTAGCGTAACTAAAATTGCAGGAAATGGGAACTTGAGCAGTAACCAAACACAGATGGTTTGTGGCAATACCTTCATCAGTAAATTCGATTTTACCTGGAACACCAAACACTCAAAGTAAACCAAACAGCAGGTTCCACAATCAATTTTACTTGAATCAAGAATCGTTCTTCCACCTATGGGTTCCCTTCTCAGCCAATTTTAATGTTCAAAACATCAAATACCAAATGCATAAGCAAGAAAGAAACTTAAGGACACATACCCTTTTCTCAGAATGTCCATTTCCATTAAAGAAATCACTGAACATCCCAAAATTGTGAGTATCGCCGATCCGATTAACCAGGTGGTTGTTAGGGGCGAGAGGAGGTACAAACTCTCTCGCCATGGGATTCAATTTAGACCACATGTCGACTAAGTTATTCATATCTTTCTCAAAGCCACTAGTTTTATCGAATGATATCTGATGGGGGCGATCTTCTGAAAGGTCGCCAGAATTGGCCACCGCCGCCGCCACTGCTGATTGCGATTGCACTCATTCGGCATCTAGGTCCCATCGCTTATGTCATCAGTCTCGTTAGTCCACTCTGGCTGCTGCTGTTGGTGTTCGCACTTCCCATCGGCCATCAAAGGCAGCGTACCTCTCCACCGCTATCTCAATCGATTTTGTCTTCAAACACTTTGAGTACGTATCTTCGGCGATCGGCACTTCCCCCAGCTCTCGAGTCCGCACTTTTCACTTCATCTTCCAGCCACGGATCTCATGACAATGATGAAATCATCTGGTGCCCCTTGTCGCCATCCTCATCAATTTCGTTTGGGGACGATGAGGTCAATTCTCCAATCATCCCTTCCTCATCCGCCTCTCGAGCACACGATTCAATCCACCAATCCTCGAACAGACCACTCCCTTAATCCATAGAGGGATTAAACAGCGATGTGAAGCGCAAAGTCCAATTGCTTCAATCGATAGTCAGATAAGAGGAGAGGGGGTTTAGGCGTTGAGAAGAGTGGCGAAAGGAATAGATCACCCAACTAAGATTGAAAGTAAACGTAGCTTGATAGATTGGAGACATGATTAGAATAAATTTTGGTACCGTAATACTAAAATATGTGAAAATTTTGTTAGGGGTAAAAGGGTACGTATAAAAAAGTCATAGCACCAACTAATCATTTTAAAATTATAAATACTAAATAATTTAATTACAATTAATAAACACCGCTAGATTAGATCAACGGTGTAGAAAAACTGATACATAGTATGTGTCAAGTACATACGAGTGTGACCCATATATATATATATATATGGTGGCTTCTATCGTACCTTGGGTAAACTCTAGGGTACGACATACCTTGAGTAGGAAAACGCTATCTAGACCTTGAATTAATCGGATTTTTAGGCATGATGCTATACCCTAACCCTTGATAAGTGAACCCTAAGATTTCTAAATCATACAGCCTAACCCCTAAGATTTTGCATGTAATTTGTTGCATATATTTCGACGAATCATAACCGTCGATTGTTATTTCTAATTAAATTTATATTAGTGTCTGAGATTTATAGAATTAAGACCTAGATTTTAATCTTTAAGGGTTTGGAAATAGTACCAGATGTCAAACTCCTGTCAATTCGAGGTCGAGATAAAGTTTTTTTACTCATGGTATGTCGTACCTTGCATTTTACCCAAGGTACGATAGAACCACCCATATATATATATATATATATATATATATATATATATAAAATCCCAAAGTGGCAAGTTTCAGAAGAAGTTAGTAGGTTTTGATGTGAGAATCTTGCCACGACTGGTAAGCCTCAATCATTACTGGTATTGTCAGGCCATTAAGGTGGCCTAACCATACCAAACTTTAAAATTTTGTAAGGTGTGAACTATATACCCCATGACAAGACATGGAGGTGATGGTGAATGGCATGGGGTATGATTAGTAGTAGTTTGGATTAACTAGGGGGGCATGATGTTGTTCTAGCCCAATAACTTCAAAAGATACCACACCGTGTGATTTAAGAGTCACCATAACTGTTGGTGGTCACAGTGGCATGGGGGACACGATTGTGTCGAGATGGAAGGACTATGGAATAATTATGTTTGACTCCCTTCCTTCCTCCCACACGGCAGCAAAGGAGAAGAAATTGGGATTGTTTTCGTCATTTAAATTGTAAGGCCAACTATTTGAGTTTGATGGCCTAGTTAGTGTGAAACTACTTAGTCCATAATTCTTATGCACTAAGTAGTTGGGGGCATTTGTTTACTCATAAAAATTAACCTTGTACCACATCGGTTAAAAACAAGGAAATAAATGGCTTTATAAGGCCAACTTAATCATATCAGTTTAAATCAGTTGAGTGGGCCACGAGGATTGGGTTTTTGGGCCCATTACTCCGTGCCACCACCCACGCCATGCATATTCAAATTTGACTAAGTATGGGAGCCACCCCCATGACACGCAGAGGGGGGTGGGCATCATACCACCACCCCCAGGACGTGGCAAGGGGGTGGACATCATACCGCCACCCCATGACATAGTGATGGGGGTGATTGCCGAATTTGGCTAAGGCAAGGAGTATGGGAGCCACCCCCAGGACATGCCAAGGGGGGTGGCCACCATCATACCACCCCCCCCATGACATGGTGAGGGGGGTGATGGCCGAAATTGGCTAAGGCAAGGAGTATGGTAGCCACCCCCAGGAGGTACCAAGGAGGGTGGCCACCATCATACCACCCCTAGGACGTGGTGAGGAAGGTGGACATCATACCTCCACCCCCATGACATGGAAGATGATGAGGGTGGAAGGAGCACCCCCATGAGGTGGTCTGGGGACCACCAACATAGCACCCCCCCATGGTATGATCAGGGGGTGAGGGGTCACTAACGTACTAATGGTGAAGTACTTTTTGCCATTTTTAACGCATGTTATTCAAATACCCACCCATATGTGGTAAGTGGTCTTTCTTTATGCCTTAGCCATTTTTACTCTATGGATAAGCAAAACTATGAAGAAGATGCCAAGAGCAGAGGTTGAGGTCTCAAGAGGAGGAAGTCAAGACTGAAGAGGATCCCACATCCAACATAGGGTAACCGTCATAGCAGTTGAGTGGGTAACCGTCACTCCACGTCAGCAGAGCAGTTTCTTGGGGCAGTTACTTCTGGCGGCTATAAATAGGAGGTGAAGATGATAGAGAAAGGGTTCGCCAAAATCACACCAGACAACCTATTGTCAAATTTTATCCTTTTATCTTTACCTTTTCCTCTGCAAATGTAGCCATAGTTGTAGTTTCAGAGCTCTCGCTGAACCTCCATAGGAGTAGAATTAATGTAATTTAGTTTGCCTTGTAGATCACCAAGAACATCGAACACCCTTGTTTGAACTTTGTTCAAAGAGGTGTGGACCGTGTTTGTTAATCGTTTGTTTGGAAGTAAAAAGGTGCAAAATCCAATTCTGTTCATCTAGTTTTTCTCGCTGGGAAAACACAAAGCATGCTTGTTTGTCACGGCTGTGTCAGAATTTGTTCTGTTTACATTAGCTACAATTGGGATAAACAGTATACATGATACATCTAGATGCATACATATAGGGTAAATTGCACGGTTGGTCACTGGGATTATTAAAAAAGTTCATGTTTAGTCACTAAAAATATTTAATTCCATTAGTGGTCACTAAAATTAGTTCAACGGTCCAATTTTGGTCACTGGCCGTCCAACTCTGTTAAATTTTGCTGATGTGGCAGTCAACCTTTATAGTTGACTGTTAAATAAATGACGTGGCAATCAAAAAATAATAAAAATAATATTTTCATAATAAATTGAAATAAACAAATATGGAAATTAAAATAAATAAATAATAAAAGTAATTTAATTATCAAACTTGTCTCTCGCCTCCATGATTTTCAATTTTCCACTTCCTTGCTAGATACCAAATCAGATGACTATTGTCGCAACTCTTTGCACCGCTGCTCTAGTTACTTATCAGATTTCGGGAATCAGATTGGCAGCGACAGTGGGGGCAATAGATGCGGGATCTCGATTAAAGAGGGTTATAATCTTTGGGTTGTGTGTCGTTGATAGAAGAAATTTGAAGCCACCAAGGTCGTCAACAGAGACCATGAGTTCAGATCTGGCAGCGAGATGGAAGGCGGCGGAGTTCCGGCGCCGCACCAATCTCTGGTGGTCGGAATCTCGTTTGTTTCTTTTTGGCTGCTCGTTGCTCGTTTTTGGGAAGCTCAAGTTTTCCTCTTGACTTCGGATCTTCTTTTTTATTGGGTTGGTCAGGTCGAGCGCGGGCGTGTGTTGTTGTTGCTGAAGGTGGGTTCGTCGATGACGAGGGAAGGTGCAATTGCATGAATCGATGATGGCGTCTGGTGAAAAAACTGGTCTGCTACTTCCCGAAGGAGAAGCGCAGGGTTCGCCGGCGGGAACAACGAGCTTTTTTTCCCCGTTTAATGAACAACGAGCTTTTGGCTTTCCTTTTATTTATTTATTTATTTAATTTCCATGTGTATTTATTTTATGTATTATAAAAATGAGTTGGAAATAGTAAAAGATAAGATTTTATTATTTTTTAATCATCACATCATTTATTTAACGGTCAACTATGAGGGTTGACTGCCACATCAGCAAAAGTTAACGGAGTTGGATGGCCAGTGATCAAAATTGGATCATTGTACTAATCTTAATGACCACTGATGAAATTAAATATTTCTAGTGACTAAACATGAATGTTTTTAGTAATCCCATTGACCAACCTTACAATTTACCCCATACATATTGAAAGAAAGAAACCCGCCGCATGCCCGTGTACTGCACACACAGACACCTTTTACTGTACAACGTGACTGAGATTTACTGTTTCAAACTGGCGTGTCCTTCGGTGTGGGCTGGAGTTGGGTGAGGCCTCATTGGGATCTGGCGGGGTTTGGAGGCTCGGTCGGGGTGGGACTGGTCGTTGGCTTCTGGTTGGCCTTAGTTGCGGTCGTTTGGTGGCCCGGACGCGCGTTGGTCATCAGAGATCGGTATGTGACTTTGCCCCTGCCCGGCCACGTGGGATGGGGCCTTCAGATGTGCTCAGTAAGTCTTGCGTGATATCATTGTGTCTGTTAGGGATTCCGGCTGTTGTTCGCAGGACTGTGTTGGAGAAACTTGGCGGCTGATTGGCTGGGGTTGGAGGTGCTTTGGGAATGGTGGACAACTGATTGATACCGGTTATTCACCTGAGGGACGGGGCCTTCAGATGTTCTCAGTGAGTCTTGCATGATATGATTGTGTCTGTTAGGGATTGCTAGAGGGTCGTGTTGGGTTGTTGTTCGCAGGACTATGTTGGAGAAACTTGGCGCCTGATTGGCTGGGATTGGAGGTGCTTTGGGAGTGGTTGGCGGCTGATTGACACCGGTTATTCACCTGATGGCGGGAGGGTGTCAAAAAGTTTACTGTTTCAAGCACTGTGGACGTCATTCAGTGCCTCGATGCGTGCGCTCAGGTGGAGAAGGGCATTTCTCATTCTTTTTGCACAAGAGGACTCATTCTCGGAACGCATTTCCCTCTTTTTTCTACCCTCTTTGTTCTCTGTGGTTCAGTTGTTGTTTTCTCACCTTTTTCCTCACCATGGATGCTACTCTGCTCTGCAATCTCAAAGGAGGTACTAGAGAGGTGACTCTGAGGCTTCGTCTGCTCCATATGTGGTATGCCAAGAATCCTTCTGGGACAAGGGTGTTTAATCACTGTTGCCTCTGGGTGGATCAGACGGTAGATTCTCTTACGCTGATTCTTTGTGATTACAGTGCTTTCTGTTTTTTTGCTCTTTTTTTTCCCTGCTTTGCTCTTTCTTTATTGTCTTTTTTTGTTTTTAATTTAGGGTATGCTCATTCAGAGCCTGGCTGATGTCTCTATTGGGTCTGAATTTGAGCGTGTGCTACGCGTGGGAGTTATCTACGTTCTTAGGTCTTTTGGTCTCAGTGCCGCAAGGAATCTCTATCGTGCTTGCTCATTTGATCTGATAATAGAGTTGTCAGCAACAACTATTTTCCAGGCCTGTTCTTTACCTGCAGCTGAATTTCCAACTGATTTCTTTGAGGTTGTTCCTTATAG